AAAAAAAAAAAAAAAAAAAAAAAAAAAAAATCAGTATATAGAATATACAAAGAACTACTACAACTCAACAATAAAAATAACCCGACTGAAAAGCCCCTCTTCATCTTTATCCCAAAAAAGCCTGTCCTTACTGTAAATTTTTCTTTCTCTCTCCTGCTTTTCAGTGTTGCCCACCTGCAGACCAGTGTGTATTCTCGGCTTCTTACACATCCTCAGAAAACTGAACATTTTATGTGAAATAACATGGATTCACCAGGAAAACCCTGCGGCAGGGGAGGAACACCTGCGCCAATGCCTGCTACCACCGGAAGGAGCCCGAGTACAGGCGGAGAAGCTGAAGCAGGTAGCGAGAGGTGGGGTGAATGCTACTGGGCGGGCGCTCTTCCCAGGGCCTGGAGTTAGACAGCTGTCATGGGTGCACGCCTTCCCGAGTGTACTAAAGCCAGTGAATTGTATACATTTCATAGGTGAGCTTCCTATGAATTCAATCTCAAGGGAGAGACTAAATGGGCGAAAGGGCCTGGATCTCTCTGCTGGTAAAGCGCAGCATTCTGGGGGGAATGCAGATTCTGGCTTGTGCTGTTTCTCGTGGCCATGATGGCCTGTGACCTGTATAAGCAGGGCGGAACACTCTGACCTCAGACCACCAATTCCCCCCACACAGCAGGAGGGTGGGCCCCTCTGGTGGAAGCAGCAGAAGCCCTCTTGAAATCTTGATGTTATCAGCACGGGATTTATGGTCCGAGGCAGGAATACTCCGCTCCATTTACTCTAATGTTAGTTTCTGTTTGGATCACTTACCAGTGGGCCAGTACAATAGGAGGAAGTGAATACATAATTTCAGGAAGCTCGCTGTTTATTGCATGGGAAATGTTCAACTTGGGACAGTTGATCCTTTTTCATGGCCTTTAAAAATTAACAGCGTATACTCTGGCATGAAGCTCATGCATGGGCTATGAACCTGACCTCTACCTGGTCAGATGGGCAGTTTACACCTGGGTAAACAGCTGAGGTCCTGTGAGTGTGGGGACAGGCGTGGCCCTGCTTTCCTCAGGTACAGGAAGTGAGAGAGAAGAGCCACGTCCTGATATTTTTTTTGGTGCTGGGGATCAAACTTGGGTCCTTGTGCTTGTGAGGCAGGCACCGGAAGCAATGAGCCAATCTCCAGCCCTTGCATCATGATTTTGAGACCCAGAAGGAGACGAGGGCTCTGACCTGTGTGAGAAGAAGATGCCTCGGCGCAGGAAGCGGTGTGGTCTCTGGCCGGTGGCTCTCTCTATCCGGTTTATCAGCTCTTTGTCAATTTTACTGCTTCCAAACTGAACTGGAAAACAAGTTGGAAAACTTCAGAAGAGATGAGCTTCTCACAAGGCAGGAGTCTTCGCAACCAGACACCACCGGACAGAGGGAAAAGTCAGGGTTCACGGACGAGTCTAATGACCAGACCTCTTTAGGCTCCCCATGATCCCCTTCCTGCAACATGGGTTACAGGTCTTCCGTGCAGGAACAACTGCCGGGGCCACAACCAGTAGCACAGGCTGCTGCCCGAGCTTGGGCTGACGGGTGCACACCTAGCTAGCAGCACTTTTCGCAACTACATGCACGCACACACAGAACTTTATAAGGGTACAACTTGTACTGACGGCATGATTCTCCATGCTCCTTAACTGCTGAACTGAATTAATGTCAGCCCCCGAATTTCCCCTTCTGGATCGTCTTTACTTAGAGAATGGAAAATGGCTCCACTTAGGTAAACATATTCCAGTTGTTTCTTCTTTGATGAGATCAATGATCTCAGAGTAACAAGCTCGCTACTTGGGTGGGCAGGGAGACCCTTGGGAGTGCGCCAGTGGGCACTTGTCACCCTTCTGGGCTCCGTGATCCATGTTGCTGGGGGGGGCTTGAGTAGCCTGGGACTAAACACTGACCACCAAGTGACTGTCAAGATGCCGTCTACCCAAGAAGCTTCCCAAGTTCTGAACTGCTCAGGGAGGGAAAGCCTGTGATGCTTCCTGTTATCGATTATTTGGAAATATTTTATACTGTTTATTTTAAAACAATCCTTTGGGAATATAATGTGCAAAGGATTTTAGGATCTGTTTTCTTCTTGGTGTTGCAGCTTCACTATATGTAATTCAAAATTTTAACATATCATATGCATCCAAAAAAAGAAGAAATCGGTTAAGACCAGCATTTCCGTGTACTGTATATGGACACAATAACCAGAATACAAATCAGCCTATGTGTCCACAGAGTTAACGGATAAAGAAGATGTAAGGGACATCACTCAGCAAGAAGAGTGGGAGCCTGTCACCTGCATTAACATAAAGAAAGCTCCAGCGGACAGGCAGGCACAGCAGGACAGAGGCTCCCAGATATGGACTGTGAGGAGGTCACCTGAAGTGGACAGATGAGAGGAGGCGGGGAGAGGGGCACGGAGAGGCAGGTTCTGTTCAAGGCAGCAGAAGACAGGACTTTGAATGTGCTAACTGCCCCGGCGGGGGCAGGATGATCACACTGTGTCGCGTCAAAGTGTACATGTTTCTGAAACAAAGCTACTTGCAAACACACGTGCACGTGCACACACACACAGACGGACGGAGGGGACTGTTCAAGGGCGCTTGCTGCTGTCAGGCGGGGGCTACCTATGAGCTTGTCGTAGTCGATGCCCTTAGCACTGCTCGTTCGTACTGTCCACGGGTCCACGAAGTCCCCGCTGTCTTCGGTGGCTGCAGCGCTGCTCTTACTCCCGGGGGCGGGGTTCTCTGGGAATTGGCTAGGCTCGCACTTCTCTCCCATGACAGCTTTGTAGGTTGTCTTTAAAGACAACAGCTTCTCTACTGCAGAGTCAATTTCGTCCTGGAGAAAAGAAACAGATGAAGGAGGAAATAGGAGCAGGAGTACGGGCTTGGACCCCAGGACACCATAGGTGCAAATGTGTATTACTTTGGTCTCGTCTCCAGCACTGTGTCATTTCATGGCATGACATGACGGGGTGGCAGGAGGACACAGGGATAGTCGCTGATGATGACGAGAGCATGCTGGAGATTTCCCAACACCATAGTGCTGGGAACGTCCATAGCAGCCCCTTTAACAGAGTTGCCGTCCTCTACCAGGGTGGGATGAGTATTTATGCCACATCAACAACAAAGCCTCCAAGGATGTCCATGGTGACACAAAACAAATCTCAGGAAAATAAGAAAGTCAGGGAGGGTTGGGGATTTGGCTCAGTGGTCCCATTACCTGCCTCACAAGCACAAGGGCCTGAGTTCAATTCCCAGTACCATAAAAAAAAAAAAAAAAGAATCTAAAAAGAGAAAGGGGAACAGGAGAGATCAAAGCAGGAGGGCTTCTGAGTTCAAGATCTGGAGCTTACGGTTTGCCAGGAGTGTGGAGCTTCAGCCTGGGGAGTTCAGACACTGAGCAGAGCATGGAGCGTGAGCCCGGCCTTGGGAGCTCTGGTGACACTTGCTCCTGAGAGCTCCGTGCCCAGCCTGGGGTGAGTGGCACCCGGGGATACAACAGGCAAGTGCTCAGAAATGAGTTATTTTGCACCCATTTTTTTCTGAAGCCATTGGGAGGTCTACAGTGCAGAGCAAGGAGGAGTGAGACTCAGGATCAGGCAGCAGGGACCAACAGGCAGGCACAGGACGGTCCTACAGGAGGGCTGATGTACTTGGCATGGGACTCAGAAATGGGGGGTGGCAGAAACAGCCATGGTGGGGACACTCCATCTGTGGGTGTGCAAACCCCACGCAGTACACTCGGCACACTCACATGGCACAGGTCCAGCACCGGATATGGGCTCCGGAGGCAAGCAAGAAAATGAGTGAGGCGACGCAGCAGCAGCATATGGTGGGCTGCATTCTCTAAGTTAGCACGTGCTCTCTCTCTCTCTCTCTCTGATTTTTCAAGACAAGGTCTCACTTTGTAGTTCAGGCTGGCCTCGAACTGGAGGAGATCCTCCTGTCTCTGCCTCCTGAGTGCTGGGATTATAGGAGTATGTTACCATGCCCAGCCTAGTTCCCTTTCTTTTTAACAGGTAGGAGTGATTCTAAAATAATGATTAAAAAGTCTACTGGAGTAAACACACAGACCAGGGCTGGGGGAAGGCTCAGTGGTAGAGTGCTTGCTTAATGTGTACCAGGCCTGGGTTTTATGCCCAGCACCAGAAAGGCAAAATAACAAAAATAAAGACAAAAACAAGCCAGTAACACAGTGACTTATTTACCAAGATCAAGCATTATGCACTTTTATACAACCGGCAGCAAGGACAGTAATTGTTTGCACCACCAGTATGGCCAGGTGGCCACGATGCCATCAGGGGAGAGGACGTCCAGCTCCGCCGCGGTCTGCAGGGACCACAGTTGCACATGCAGCCCGCTGGGCCAGAACACTGCTGCATGGTGCGAGGCTACATATCATCATTAGTGTACACAAAGGCCAAGCAAATGGAAATGAAGAATATTAACTGGAGAAAACAAAAGATGGCAAGGAAGGAAAAGTGAGGCTCTTGTACTACTGCTTCAGTTGTTCACAGTCTTGGTAATGTTAGGACCAATAACGACCTAACCACCCTTGTAATGCAGGGACAGGAAAATCTGTGAAACCACAAGGCCCTCATCGTCACAGCGAAAGTCTTGAACTTTTAAGATCATCAGGAGGAAATAAGCACAGTATTTAAGGTTATGGGCCAAAGGATCAGCTGCAAGACTTGAACACACTCATGTCTGGAAAGATGGGCTGAAGGGCCAGGGTGCCATTGGCCCTTCATGCCTGTGAGCTCTGTATCTGGGATTCAGTCCATCTTAGATTTAAAGCAGAACAGGACAAAATAAAAACCTGTATGTGTGTAGCTTGCATGCAAATATCATTTTATTTTTTTAGAGACAGGGTCTGGCTTTTCAGGCTGGCCTAGAACTCATGACGATCCTCCTGCCTCAACCTCCAGGGTGCGAGGACTACAGGGGAGTGCCACCATGCCCGGCTACTACGCCAAAAGGCCTTGGGCTTCCCTGAATTTAGCCCATGGGCTCCGGGCCCAATCCCCCTGGGATATGAGGAAGGAATAACAGTCTCAAAGGCTTTTAGAACCACCAACTCTAGACTACAGGCAACAGAACACCGACAATTTACAACTGAAATAAAAGCACCTCAGCTATGGAGAGGAGTCCTGCAGATAAGAGAGAAAACCCAGCCAAAGCACCTACTTTTGCTGCCTTTGCCGCTTTGAGGCAGCGCACGTGCTCGCCCTGGGCAAGGATGATGTTATACAGCTCTAGGGGAGTGTCAAAGGGCTGGCCGTTGGGCATATCCGCCATCCTGGGGTCCCAGGAATTCCTCCGCAGTCTGGATGAGAGAGAAGGAGGGGAGGGAGATTAGAGGTCTTCTAGCTGTTCCAGTCCTTTCCCAAGTAGGTTGCAAGGCCGGCTGTAATACAGGAAGTGGGTAAGACAACATCGACAGTACAGGCAGAGGCCTGGGGCTGTGAAAGAGAAGACAGAAACCAGGAGTCACTAGGACGAGGAATGGACCCCTGGACCCTGGATCTCCATGGGAGGATCCCATGGAGGGCCAAGGCCTCCCAGCACCTCCTCTGAGGCCCAACACCCCCAGCTTGAACAAACTGTGCTTCCCTGGGCAAACAGACACTTGGCAGACTGCTGCTGGTTCTTTATCTCTGTGCTGGGCCTTGAACCCCAGACAGCAAATGCTCCGGGCCAGCTGTTCCATTCTCAGCCTGCGGAGACCTGGGCACAGAGCCTTGGCCAAGTGACATGGGGACTGTGGGACTTGACTTAACCGTGAAGCTCTCTAGTGGTGCTTATGCCTGTTTTTTTCTTTGCACTTCTAAGAACTGAACCCACACCCTTCATGGTGCACTGCACCCCAGGCCTTTATTTTTAATTTATTTTTTTTTTTTTGAGACAGGTCTCACTATGTAATTCAGACTGCTCTGAAACTCACTGTGTAGCCCAGGCTGGTCTCAAAACTCACAGTGATCCTCCTGCCTCAGCCTCCAGAGTGCTTCAAAAGGCACTCCTGGCTGTGTTCTGATGCTCATTTGTTTTTTTTTTTTTTTTTTTTGAGACAGGGTCTCACTATATAGTTGAGACTGGCCTGAAACTCACTATGTAGCCCAGGCTGGTCTCGAACTCACAGCAATCCTCCCGTCTCAGCCTCCTGAGTACTGGGATTAAAGGCATGTGCCACCACGCACGTGGCTCTCATTTGCTAGTCTTGAACTAGGAGAGGCTCAAGGCCGGCTGAGACCTGGCCCCAAGACTTGGGGCTGTCACTCCTCCTCCCTAAACTGGGACCAGGAACCCTTTCATGCCCCCAAAGGGCTGTTAGGAGGATGAGGCTGAGCCCTGTCACTATGGGTATTGCTGTCACACTGGGTTCTGACCTCTAGGGTTCCAGAGGCCGACGGACCCAGCTTTACCCGACTGGCTGCATGCAGGGGCTAGGTGGGGGAGAGGAGGGACATGGCAGCTGCAAGGCTGAGCAGCTTCTGCCCTGCTGCTGTTCCATGAATCACCTGAGGAACCCTGTGTGATAGGTCTGTGGCCTCTGCTTCACAGACGAGGCATGGAGGGGCAAAAAGCCTCGCCGACTCGTCCAGCATGGAGTGACAGAGCCGGGAGACAAGCTTGCACTCACAATCACCAAACTCTAGGGACCCTCGCAGTACTCTGGGTGTGTGAGTTTTAGTGTAAGTCATCTTCACACACATCGCTTATCACGCTGAAAGCAGGTAGACGGCTGCTAGTTTCTGAGAAGCAGCATTAATTCCCAGAAAGGGAAGTAGGAGAGAATGGGTAGGGCAGAGCCAGAGCAGGTGGAAAGCAGAAAACTTCCTCTGGGCGGGAGGAGGCAGCACACCCACTCCCACTGCAGACTCCCAAGTGCGACAGTCACTCCTCCAGCGACAGCAAGGACACAAGTGGTCCAACACCCACCCACATGCCAGTGCAGTCCCGAAGCCCACCTCCCCAGGCCCAGATAGGCATTTGTCTCCACCAGTGACCAAGACGTTGACGGCTCAGGGTGTCAGATCTGACGCCAGAGCCCTTCTCCGTCACTGGCTTTCAGGTTTGTGGCTGCTCTGCCTGCCCTGGCCGGAGCGCTGCCGCCAGCCTCTCCAGTTCAGACTTCAGTCCTCCCTGAGCCCAGTACAGCAGGGCGAAGAGAGGCAGTCGGCCCATCCTGTGTCCCCTAAACCCGCCATCAGCCTGATTAAAGCAAAATCTTACTCTTAGAGCAAAATCTACTGCCAGGCTAGCCGTTCACTGTTCAGCTGTCCACACTTACCAAGTGGATGGGTCTCAGATACCATTTGGTTCAACTCCTTTCACGAGGCTGCACCTTCTTCCAGCATATGTACAAGTGCTTGCTCTGGCTGAAGCATGATCCCCCCGTCTGGATTTGGGGGGGGTCTCTCATTTAATATCCAGACAATGCCCTGAGACTGGCAGGGTTCCAAGAGAGCCGGGCAGGTCTTCTGGTGCCTCCTCTAGGCCTCTTGCTCACACCTGCCCACATCTGGCCAGCCCTCTGGCCTTGCCTTTGGCTTTCTCCGCTCCCACAAAAGGGCTACTCTGCCTGGCAGCTGTGGGCAGTGGTCTCTGAGTAGAAACCAAATCAAGTGGAGTCTGAGCTGCCTTTAAAAATCCCTGGGAAAAGAGCCAGGTAAGATGACCCTGCAGCAGCCAGTCTCCCTCCACTGTAACAGAGCTGGAAACTTTCTCTGCTACAGAGAGGATGGGCTACATTCAGATCTGGTCATGGGGGAAACAGTTAGCTTTAGTCCCAGAAAGTGGCCGAATCAACCAGAGGAAACAGCAGATAAGGTCTCCCTGTTCTCAAGATCACAAGGCATCCACTCACTGCCCACACTGTTTTACTGTGCGCCCTGTGATGCAATTTCTCAAGGGAGTATTGAGTACTCAGGGGCGGTCGGCTGGAGTCAAGAACAGAACGCCTTCTTCATTTCATGCATTCAGCTATTTACCCTGTTTCTTGTGAGTCCCTCATCCACACCCAGATCTAGTCAACACCCTTCTTTATTTTTTGTTAGTTAACTTTTATTACTGGTATTATTAGCACTGTGGTACTTGAAATGAACTCAGGACCTTTGCAGTGGGTTACCCCCTATCCCGCTTTAAAAAATTTTCAGTCTTAAGTTGCCCAGGCTGGGATCAGAATTACAGTCCTTCTGTCTCAGCCTCCCATAGTGCTGCAATTACAGGTGTGCACGACTGTGCCCAGCTTGTTAGCTGTGAGGATTAAGTTTATTCCAGAGGCTTTCAGCCTAGGGTTCCTGGCCTCCCAACCTACACCAAAGTTTGCATATGCATATTCACAGGAGTAGCGAAACCTTGGTCTGAGATGCTAACAGGTCAGGAGCACTGTATCAAGTGTTTACCGCATAAACTGCAAACAGGGCTCTGAACTCCGCTGAGGGCAGCCTGATTCCCCTGTTCTCACAAGTACTGCACTCTAGAGGAAGGGAATGCAGTCAGCCAAGAGGTAACCCATGGCTTGTAAGGCCGCCTTAAGGAAAGGAGAGGAAGAAGACTTGCGACACTCACAGGTAAGACGCCCAGGGAGAGGGCGTCGTCCAGATGGCTCCCTCGGGAGCAGCTGCCCTGGGGGGGGGGGTCCTGGGGCCGGGAAACCAGGTTAGGCGGAGGTCCCAGGAGCACCTGTACTGATGGCGGCGGGCTTGCAAGGCCCCAGACCCTCCACGCCCGGATTTCCAAAAGCATTAGGTCCTGCTGTCCTTTGAACACCAGAAGGAAGGGCTCCGTCCCTCCCCACAATAAAATGGACATTATCTCGAAGGCACAGGAGACGCTAATTTCTATGAAGGCAGACGTGACTTAATGGGCATCCTCGGACACCGACTGTGCAGGGAGGTCGCGGCCGTGAAAAATACACCTGATCAGAGGGCGCTGGGAGGGCAGCTGCGAATCCAAGTGGGCAAGGCTCGGCGCCCCCTCCATTCCCTACAGAAGAAGGCAAGCAGCCGAGCTCTGGGATGGAACAAGATGCACAGCCTTGTAACCCCGGGAGAGACGACGCCTTACCCTCTACACCGAGGTGTCCAGCACTCCGGCGAAAGGCACAGAGACTCCGACAGCAACCAGCAGGCAGCCGGGCGAGAGGCAGCAGGCACCGGGCGCTGGCGGCGTCGGCCCGCGCGGAGCGCCCTGTAACGCTCTTCCGGCTTTCCGTCGGGTTCCTTGCAGCCAGGCTCTAGTGTTTCTCCTGCTCACCCCACCCCTCCAGCTGCGCGCACTGGGGTTTCTAAGAACTCATCCCAGTTCCTTTAAACGTCTCGGCCTCCGGCCCCTCCTCCGGCCAAGCCCTCGAGGGTTTCGGGAAGCCGGGCGATTCCCCTCGGTGCGCCGGCCCCACCCCGGCCCCGGGGTCACCGTGCGTCAGATATGAAAGACCACATGTCACATGATTCCATTTAAACGAAATGACCAGAACAGACAAATCTACTGGGACAAAAGCAGGTCTGTGGATGCCTAAGGATAACAGGGAAGAGCCTGTGAACACACTAAAAACACTGAACTGTACACTTCAAAGAGTAAAGTTGGTGGTGTGGTAATTATATCTCAATTAAAAACATAACAATGATTTGAA